GGAATGTTCAGCTGGCAGAGACAGTGCACAGCTTGAGAAAGGGATGGATGCTGATCCCACAGCATCTGAGCATTCCTAAAAGTTCAGCGCTCTCATACCATTTCAGACAGTATAACCCTGTACCTTTACTTTGGAGTTTTCCAGTTCCTCTTGCAGTACCAGTCTCTCCTTTTCCCACTCTTCCAGGGTACACTCTCCTGCTCCCCTTTCCTTTTGCTGGAGCACCCTTGCCAGCTGTTGATTAGGATCCTGCACATCTGCTTGATTTTTGGAGTTTCTCTGGCTAAGTTCTGTGTTTTCAGAGTCCAGCTGCTGGTTCCTGGTCTTCAGATCTGCTACCTAAATCGGGACAGCAGTGTCAGTTATGACTATTTCCACAGTGGGAAGTAGGTTTAAAAACCATTTCCTTTCTGTTCAGAAGATTAAAAATCAGACAATGTCACCCCAAAGCAACAGCTCAGCCAAGACAACAGAACCACAAAGTGGTGCCTGTGAGCAGTGGGACACAACAGTCACCTGTACTCTCTGCACCAGTCATGGCCACAGTAGCACAGCTTGCTTCATACCCTTAAAGCATATTTAACTTGCTGCATGCCCCAATTTTAGGACAAATCAGCTTTTTATGAGCAGGAACCCTCCTGAGGGCCTGCTGCCTGCATGGTCAGCCACCAACTTCATAATTGGTCTCAGTCATTTCAGTTCTGTCAGTTATTTGGCACACCACTCTGCTCCTCCTGCCCTTTGCCATGCTGAGGTGTCTTCTGAGGGTTATGCTGGTGAAGGAGTAGATTATTCTGAGCAAGCAGAATTTTACTAAGTAGTACTAAGAGGGACAAGAATTAAGAGCTACTTTGCAACTTGGCATAAAATACCATCCCTTAAAATAAAACAAGCAGCCTCAAGGATACAAGCAAAGGGTCACGGCTGGCAGTGTTCCTAGACCTAGCTAGCTGGGAAGTAAGTGGAGGCTGAGTCACATAACCTCTGTTTCCCATGGGCTACTGCACAGCATTACCCACAACGGCTACAAAAGAAGGATTTTAACTTTATATTTCTATTAAATAATTTTTATGGAAAGTGCTTTCAAGCCTGTAAGCTGGACAGTTACAGTAGCATTGCAGTTGTCTTCTGATTAGGTCTAACAAGCCTCACATCAATCCCAATGAGCCAATGAGAACAGCTATCAAAGAGTTTAAATTTGTTTAGTGGTCATTTTGTACTCCCTTTGTGGCCATCTAAAGGAACAGCCTTTATAGAGTGATGATTTCTACAGAGGGGGTTATGGGTTAAGTCCATTTACCTGCTTTTTCAGGTTGTCAACCATCTTCTGTACAGTCACTTTCTCCTTCCTCATAGCCTCTATCTTTTCCCTAAGGAAAAAATGAAAGCTCTCTTAGCACAGAATCATAGAAACACGAGGGCCACTTGTTAATATGCACACCTACAAGAATGGGCTGGGTTTTGACATCACCAGAAATGGCAATTCTGGACATTTATCACTTTCCATCACTGTTTTGCATAGGCTTGGCGAGTGCTCAGTTCCTCAGGGTATCCCAAGTACCTCTTTTCTAGAAGAGAAGAATGATCCCAGCTCTTCCTGTCTTTTCTAAGGCTACCCTAGCCCAAGGAGCAAAACTTCTGCTTGCATCAAGTCACCTCATAAATAGGTCCTGTGTTTCTACAGTTAAGCCTCTGCTTTGCCTCTAGGAATGAGGAAGACAAGCTGGGGCAGGTGAAAAGGACATGGAATAATCTGTCAACTAACTTGGTTTCCACTGACACCATGAAACAATAGCCTGTTTCAAATTGTATAGGTATCTAACACATGAAGGAGCTTTAGAAAAGGGAAGCAACCATTGTGTCTGTCCCACAGTGAGAGCCTGAAGGCCCACGTGGTACATGCACCATTGAATTCTTACCTCATTTCTTCTTGGGATCCACTTAGCTCCCTCAGTTTCAGGCTGGAAGCACTACCTTCCTCATTTAATAAAGTCACTTCATTTTTCAAAATAGCATTTTCTTTTCTGAGCTTCTCAGCTTCACACCTGTGGCAGAGGCATGAGGTAAGTGAAAACTGCTTCTGAATATCATCTAGGCCCACAGGGAGAAAAATGATAAAGAGCCTAAGCTACCACTAAGATTTCAAGACAAAGCCACAATTGTCTTATTTTATATATGAGCAGTATAAGGATTTTGCATTTCATTTAGTAGCACTGCTTCCCACATGACTGAAAAGGGCTTTTTATGCCTGGTTTTGTACAGCTACAGCTAGTTAAAATCTAAGATATCTAGTAAAAGTTTCACACTAATATTTTACTATACCTTTCAGGCCCTAGGTTACAACTAACACCTTTAAACAGCTTAGCACCACGAGATGCAGATTACTAGGAGAGTGAGCTCTTTACAGAGACCAATATGCTGGGAACAGCAGCCTTGGAAAGTGCTTTTTCTGTCCTGAGGCAACTCTAGAGAAATAACTTGGCCATGGTGTAATACCTGAAAGGACAAACTCCTGCAAGAAGCTGTTGTTGAGCAACAGTTAAACCACTTGTAGCCACTTCATGGCATCCTAACAACAACAAAATCCTTGCTGAAATACAGCAGTTAAAAACAAGTAGTTTATTTAAAAAAAAACAACCCTAATATATTCTCTGTGTTATAAAGGTATTTACCACATCCCACAGCTGATGAATTCCTAACCCTAAGTCTTCCTGCTGGGAAAAAAAGTTACCATCATTCTCTAGTATTAACTTAAACACAGAAAACTAGAAGTGCTTTTTACATTCCAAGTAACATTCAGGACTAGAAGGGAGTGAAGAGGTGATATTAGTAACAGCTAAAAGCATTCTGGAAGTGTTATCATGGTATTTTGGAGACAAAAGCCCAGGGGTTTGATGCACCATCAGCTCCACCCTGTGATGGTCGCTGCATCCCACAGGCAGCACAGCTGGCAGGTTGCTCCTGTTTTACCATTCGTGTTAGGTGATGGTCAGAGAGGAGTAAGTCACACACAGCTACTTCAACCGTCGTTATCCACGATTAATCAGCCTGCTTGCTAGTAGTTAAGAGTCCCAGGCACTGGTTTCTACTCAGAGTTAAGCTACAGTGGTTAATGCAGCAGCCGGCGGGCAGGCGGGACGTGGGGTTAGTGTTTAAGCAGCACCCTGGATTACTGAGGGGCCAGCACGTGTCCCACCAAGTTTTGCAAGGGTACTTTACCTCAGAAGATCAACTTTTTGCTGCAGCTCAGTGCATGTGCCTTGCAGGCCGTGCATCACTGTACTCCTCTCTTCTCTCTCCTCGGGGAAATGTGTGTCTTTTGGGTTAAGCAGAGCAGCAGCCTTCTCCTCCAGCTCTCGGTCGGGCTCCTGCAGCTCCTCCTGTTCTGCAGATGTTTCTGTTCCCGTGCTGTCACTCTGGACATGCTTGTCTTGCTGACCTGTGCACCTCCCAGCATGTTCTCCCAGCTTCCCAAGCTGGCACCGCAGTCTTAACATGTCACCATGTGCAGCTACATTTCCTTGTGTGCCTTGTTCTTGTAGATGTTCCCATTCTTCAATTTTTTGGAGGAGCTGTGTGTTTTCCTCTCCAAGCTTAACACTTTCCAGCTTATTTTGTCCTAGCTTGCAAAGAAGCCTTCTCAGCTTATGCAAGTTGTCTTCTAGCACCTTATTTTTTTCAACTAATTTTATCATTTCACATTTCAGATCCTCATTTTCTACTTGAATTTCTTCTTGCAGTGACAGGACTTTAGCCTGTGCCATTGATCTGTCTTCTAACTCTTCTACCCTTTCCCAAAGCTGAGTTATTATGCTTTTCAGGTCACCAGTTGTTGGCCCAGGAGCATGATCAAGCTGGAGAGAGTCTTCACTCAGTTCCTCAGCCTTCTCAAGCTCAACCTCCAGCTCTGAAGCATCAGAAGCAAACCCTTTATTTTCAGGAGTCATTCTGTGATTTAGCAGATGAACCTTCCGCTGCTTAGTATCGTTCTGTAGCACTTTTGATCTGGGTTGTCTCTCAAGAGTGTTCTTGAGTTCCCTCTTTTTTGTCAGAAGAGAAAGCAGCTCTTGATTGTCACAGCCCTGATTGCCATCAGCTTCCAGTGCTGCTTTATTTCCTTGCATCTGACACACCCGTGCCTCGAGTGCGGGGCCACCTGGCCTGGCTTCAACACAGGCTTTCTCCAAATCTGAATCAACCTCAGTCATTTCTTCCAGGTCTGTACTGTCTGCCTCCAAAAGCAGAAGGACATTTGAATCTGTTCCCTTGTCTGCACCTCTCCAGTCACTGGGCAGCTCTTCAGAGATGGGATCTATTTCATCTGGCAGCTGAGATGGTTGTGAGATGGAGTTGGAGCAGGCAGGACTGGGTGGTGGCAGCAGGTCCTGCTCCACAGCTTGCAGCCTGTGCTGCAGCCTGACAATCTCAGCAGCCATCCTGACATTCTCCTTCACAGCTTGCTCGTGCACTCTCTGCAGATTTAAGAGGACATCCCCATCACCTCCCAGAGGCACCACACCAAAGGAAGAAGCGATTTTGCTCTTTGCTTTGGCGTACTCCTTTTCCAGGACCCTATAATGATTTTGCAGTGCAGAAAAACTGTGGGTCTCCCACTGCAACTTCCGTATTTTCCCTTGAAGGTCTGAGATTTCCAAACTCATCTCAGCCTTTTCTGCTTCTGCTCTTACACAAATGTCTTTGTTTAAACTCTCCAGAGCAAGAAGCTTGGAATTGAGGTCTTCTTTCTCTTGCTTATATTCACTATCAAGCCTCTCCAGCTTTTGCCTAACCAGCTTCCCATCTTCTTCCACCACGGACATATGCTCCTCTTTGTTCTTTAGCTCTTTTTCGTGGTCATTTTGGAGTTGTGTTATTTTCTCCTTCAACTTCTTCTCCTCCACCTCAGCAGCATTCCTCAGGTCCCACAGCTCCTTCTGAAGCTGCTCTCTCTCGCACACAAGCTTGTTCACTTCTTCCTTGAAGTTCTTCTCCAGGAGATCTTTCTCCTGGCTGAGGGCAGAAGAAACTGCTTTTTCATTTGCCAGACTTTCCTTCAGTCTCTCGTGGGCTTCAGCAACTTCCTGAGCAATTTCCTCCTTTTCAAACTCCCACTGGGATTTCTCCTCTCTTTGCTGCTCAGCAAGTTCATGCAGCTCTTGCTGGTAACGTCCTTCTAGATTTTGGATGGTTTCTTCATATTTACTCACAAGTGTTTGTGTCTCAACAGAAAACTGAGTTTCTGCATTAGATGCTCTTCTGTCATAGTCACTTTCCATTTTTTTCCTAAACATGGTCAACATAAGATATTACTGAACTCTGGGCTAACTCAAAGAGATTCAAAATGGCTTTTTTAGGCTGAATAAAACAAGTTGAAAAATCAGCTTCTCACTGAGTTTTGGATGAAGTACCATTTGACAGGTGGTCCTGAGAGCCAAAGTTAAATATGAGACCAATTTGTTGGAACTTCAGAAATAAAAATCTAATTGCCTCAGGAAAGTGTAACTCATGAAATGTTCTCATAAAAGGTTTCATGTGCAATATATGCTCTTCTATACCTGTGATCAGATTGGTGGGAGATGTTCTTTATCTCCATCTCTCCCTGTCACCCTAGGACAGCTTCAGCTCCTTTTGATACTCAATCCTGGCTAAATGCATTTACCAGCCATCACATTACTTCTTCAGAAAAGAACAACCCTAAAACCCCAAATGCTTTAGAAGTACAAAGCAGGGATTTGTAAAGCACAGGGATCCTGAACAGAGCTCAAGTTAATCATGTCTGGTTATGCTTTAACACTGCTGTTGCCTCTGGGTGAGCTAAAAATCAATATAAATATCTGCTTGAGAAAGGTCAGAAGAAAAAGCCTCTGGATAGCAGCCCAGTGGTCTGGAGTTAAACAGGTCACAGCACTACACACTTGGTACACTTGAATGAAGCATCAGGAGGCATTTCTGCCCTAGGTTCACCTTGGTCGCCCCAAGCCATCAAGGTCAGCACACACCACTCCTGTCCCCACCAGCAGTGACACTCACCTTTCCTCCTTCAGGTCCTGCTCGTGCTTCCTCAGCAGCTCTTGTTGGAGCTCCTCCTTCTCCAGGGCATGCACCTCTGCCATCCTTTTCAGCTGCTCATGAAAGCCACGTTCCAGCTCCCCCTTCTCTTCCTGCAGTGTCTGCACCAGAACTCTCATCTTTTCTTCCATCCAGACACCATTTTGAATCAGTTCTTCCCGTTCTTGACTAAACTTCTCATTTACCTGCTCCAGCCTGGCTCTAATATCTTCTTCATGCTCCTGCCTCAGTAGTTCTTGCAGATTGGCTTTTTCCTCATCAAACTGCATTTGTAATTTGTTTTTCTCATCATTATATTTACAGTCAAGCTTTTCTTGCTGTTCTCTGAGCACTGCTGCCTCTCCTTGCAGTTCTGCAATTTGATTTTTAAGGCCAGTCATTTGCTTTTCCATGACATGCATCTCTTCAGTGTACTTCTTCCTCATACCCTCTTGTTCTTTCTCACAGTCACTTTTTGTCTCATCCAGCTGCTTTTCATAACGGCTCACCTAAAAAAAAGGAAAACAAATTGGTTTGTTTTCTACATCATGTTATACAGAGATATTTTCTCTGCATTTCTGTGTTGTATTTTCCCATTTCTTCTATAGAATATTCATCCCACTCCAGCCCCTCTGTACCACACAGCAACGTGCAGAAGGAGCAAGGAAGGCAAAGACTTAGGTTCACAGCAAGGTTATAATTTGACCAGGAATAAAAATTCCTTTTCCCACGTGTAGGAAGAGGCTGGGAAAGTTGTGAGGGTTCATTTGAAGTTACAATAGCTTACTGTGTCTTCAAGCTCCTGCTTGAGGTGATGTAGATCCCTGTGGTGTTGCTCCTTCATTTGTTCAATAGCCATTTCTGCCTCTATGCTCATATTTAAGGGGTTGCAGTCTTCTGAACCAAGTCCTTTAAAAACAATTATATACATATTCTTGAAGCCCAAAGAGATACATTCTCAATAGACTTATTTCATCACTTCAAATGTGTTTGGGCAGCTACTGGCAGCTCCCAAATTCCCATCACACACAGACAAGAAACTGCAAGCATTAATTTTAGCTTTGAACATAGTAAGTATTCCAATTAAACAGCAAAACAGAGGCAGAGTTTCAGTCTCACTGTGAAGGTTTGGGGAAGTTTTTATGTAATTGCCTCTGGAACCAGATGATCTTTAAGGTCCCTCCCAACTCACACCATTCTATGATTCTCAGATATTATCACAAAGACCTACAGCCCAGAAGCTGGCCATGTGGAGATGGGCTTTACCTTGGTCAGGCTCAATGCCACTGTTGCCATGACTCTTCATATCCATGTCAAATTCTTCCGACAGGGAATTTCTCAGGGAAGGCCGGAGCACTTTGCCTTGGGCCCGGTACTCCTGCAGCTCCGAGTGCAGCTCATCTATCTGGTCCTGCAGCTCCTGAGAAAGTGGGGAAAGAAGCTTGAGTGAAACAACTGAGGCAGCTGAGCATCAGCATAAGCCCACAATGAGACACCAAAGAGGGAATGACAGGAGGTTGAACTTGTCAATCATCCTGCCACAGTCATCCTCCTGTCAGCAGAACAACACCCTTCTCCAGGTCCCAACCTGTGCAAGGAACAGATGTGTTTCTTACTCAACCAGCAGAAGCTTCTTCCAACTGAGAGCCTGTATATTATCTTCCTCTAAAGTACATCGTGCCCCAGGACCTTCCACTTTACAAAAGGTTGTAGGAAGAAGGAATAAAGAGCAGCTTAGGAACATTTTTAAAGAGTTGAGAAATACCTCCCCAAACACCATCTACTCGAAAAATCTAATCAGAAGCAGAAAATCAAATGAGGGAAGAGATACCCTCATTACTACATTTACCATCTGGTACTTCTGCCCACTTGCCAGCAGAATATCCCAAGTGTTTGTGCCAAATACCACGTGCTCAGCTCAAGGAACAGCATTTATGGAGCAAAATGAATCCCTGAATGTGTAAACACACGATTCTGCAGATTCCAATGGTTCAGAAAGTGAACCTTGAGTGCTGATTCCTATCTGACAGTACTAAAAAGAAGTCAATTGCATATTCAAGCAACTCATTATCATAAAGTACCGATTCAGCAAATATTCCTAGAAAATCTTTGCTCTTAAACTGCAGCTTCCTAAGAGAGCTATGGTGCTGTTCAGATAAGACAGCCTCTTGCCAAGGTAGTCTGGTTCTGAAAAGATGAGCTGAATGTTCCTAACCACTGAACTCACCAGAAAGTAGATACGTAAACAGATACTTCCAGGCCCACCTTAAAGAAATATTTCAGCCATACAAGGTTTGTGGAGAAGACAAAGTTTCAGTTACACTTTGTGCAACTACTACTGCTTTGGAAACCACGAAAACTCGGACATAGGTTATTTCTGCTGTTAGTTCCTGTGACTCTGAACTCAAAAGGAGGTAAAATTTATTTCATAAATAAAAAACCAGTAAGGGTGTTCTTGGTGAAGGGGGGCAGACTGGTGCCAGGTTTCCAGCCCTGGGCTCTACTTACTCTGCACTGCTGCTCGTACTCGCTTCTCATCTGTGCCAGCCTCTCCTCCTGCAGGAAAAACTCTGCGCTGCTGGGATCCAGGTCACCAAACTGAAAAGGCATGGATGGGATCCAATTATTCTTCCACCTGCTCATCACAGCCTGGGTGCCATTCACAAGCAGTCCTGCAGCCTGCACCCTCTCCCATTCTTTATTTTAAATCCAGCAGCTCTGCTTCCCTTCTGGTAGGGGACAACGAGCAGCCTCCCTGACAAATACAGCTGCTCCTTCACCACAGCTCTCATGCCAACTTTGATTTCACACCACAGCTTTCTAGCTTGGTTTCTATCAGTTTGATAAATAATACCCACTTTAAAGAAGTCTGGAAAACAGATACTGGGTGAGAATCCCACTATAGGAGCCTTTGTCTATAGACACACACATACAGAAATGCCCTTGGAGAAGCTGATATCCTGATGAGTTCATTGTAATACAACCATGATCACCTCCCTTTTCACCTCAGGTCAGCAGAGATGCCACATAACACCCAACACCTTGTGTATCATCTTCCCTAGGAAGGACTGGCACATTGGGTCTATCCAAAACTAGGTGCTGGAGAAAAAATACCCTGCAGATGACAGGATGATGGTTTCACTGTCAGGCTCCCTACTGTTGGGCTTCTTAGCTAGGTTAGGTTTGGGAGAGTTAGGTGAGGGTTGGACTCGATCTTCAAAGGTCCCTTCCAACCCCTAATATTCTGTGATTCTGTGACTCAGTGATCTCAAAGGTCTTTTCTAACCAGACTAATTCTGTGATTCTACTAATTACTCTCAAGCTACAGCGAAGATGGAGTATCTTTAATTTCCTTAACTGGAACTCAAGTCAGGCAGCACATGTCAAGGACACTGTGCCTGGGACCCCAGGAGCCTCTGGCTATTAGTTCAATTAGCAGCTCCAGTGTAGTAACTGGAAAGCAATTTAATTCTGGACTCAGACTGGGAAGAGGAGGATTTACCTTCTCAGCCAGGACGTTTTCCAAGTTCCTCTGCAGTTTGCTTGCCAGACTTTCATACTCAGACAGTTTTTCTCCCGTTTCCAGTAGCTCACTCTCCAGGCGGCTGTTCTCCTGGACCAAACAAAAACCCCCAACAGCCTCAGCATTTGCAGCAGGAAAACATGAGCACGAGGCAATTCCCTGGAAAAGTCTCCTCCCAGTTGTGTCAGAGCACAACACTGCTACTACCTTCAGCCAGCTGTGAGTTTGTTAGCCACACACGTACAACCCCTCTTGCCACAGCAAAACAGCAGCTTGTGAGACTGTTTGTAAGACAACAACATTCCTTCTGGCTCAATTTAAAAAAAAAACAAAACATGTTTACACAGCTGTCAGATTCAGGAAAAAAGTTGTGACTTAAGTGTTTTCTAAAAACCAAAATGTTGGAAAAGGATAATCCACCCTACAGACTCATATTAGACAACAGATAGTTTATCCAAAGCAATAACAGCAAACTTGCTTAGGAGATTTTTATATATATATGTATGTATTTAAAAATAACAGTATTTTAAGCTTCATCAAGACATATTCTCTCCTGGCTGGACAGCCAAACAGCCAGCAGGGCAGACAGCCCCTTGGAGAGCTGTACCCACACACACTCTGCACTTGATGGCAGCAGAGATTTATGAATCCAAGGGTCCCTTCCAACCCCTAATATTCTGTGATTCTGTGACTCAGTGATCTCAAAGGTCTTTTCTAACCAGACTAATTCTGTGATTCTACTAATTACTCTCAAGCTACAGCGAAGATGGAGTATCTTTAATTTCCTTAACTGGAACTCAAGTCAGGCAGCACATGTCAAGGACACTGTGCCTGGGACCCCAGGAGCCTCTGGCTATTAGTTCAATTAGCAGCTCCAGTGTAGTAACTGGAAAGCAATTTAATTCTGGACTCAGACTGGGAAGAGGAGGATTTACCTTCTCAGCCAGGACGTTTTCCAAGTTCCTCTGCAGTTTGCTTGCCAGACTTTCATACTCAGACAGTTTTTCTCCCGTTTCCAGTAGCTCACTCTCCAGGCGGCTGTTCTCCTGGACCAAACAAAAACCCCCAACAGCCTCAGCATTTGCAGCAGGAAAACATGAGCACGAGGCAATTCCCTGGAAAAGTCTCCTCCCAGTTGTGTCAGAGCACAACACTGCTACTACCTTCAGCCAGCTGTGAGTTTGTTAGCCACACACGTACAACCCCTCTTGCCACAGCGAAACAGCAGCTTGTGAGACTGTTTGTAAGACAACAACATTCCTTCTGGCTCAATTTAAAAAAAAAAAAAAATACATGTTTACACAGCTGTCAGATTCAGGAAAAAAAGTTGTGACTTAAGTGTTTTCTAAAAACCAAAATGTTGGAAAAGGATAATCCACCCTACAGACTCATATTAGACAACAGATAGTTTATCCAAAGCAATAACAGCAAACTTGCTTAGGAGATTTTTATATATATATGTATGTATTTAAAAATAACAGTATTTTAAGCTTCATCAAGACATATTCTCTCCTGGCTGGACAGCCAAACAGCCAGCAGGGCAGACAGCCCCTTGGAGAGCTGTACCCACACACACTCTGCACTTGATGGCAGCAGAGATTTATGAATCCAAGGAGGAAGGTATCAATGTGACCCTAAAAGCAGTTCTCCCTGATATGTCTCTGTCTTGCTGCTGAGATCTCTTTCAGCTGGGTCAACACACACTACAACACACCCTCTCAACAAGGACTATGCTGCGTTGCTCCCCACTCAGGAGCAACCTTGTCCTTGGGGGAACACACCGGCTGCTTCCTGTGCCTGTTACCTTCAGGGAAAGGGCCAGGCGGTCCCGGAGGAAGTTCTCATCAGTTTTCAGCTTTTCTATCTCCTGCTCCAGCTCCAGCCTCTGTTTATTAGCCTGCTGCAGGATTTGCTCCCGCTCTCTCCGGAGCTCGTTCTTCAAAGCCGCGATTCGCTCCTTGTACTCCTCGTCCAGCTTCCTGCGATGGCACCGGGGGGAGGAGGAGCTCGTGAGAAGCAGCAAGCAACAAATGCCAGGAGGGGCAAAGCTTCATGGGCATCAGCAGGCACGAAGCCACTGCCTCAGTCACAGAGTCCCCCCCAGTGATCCCAGAGAGGAGGGAAGGGGTGAGCCAGGACACCCTACCTGAGGTTGTACTCGTTGCGGCGCTCGATGGCCGCGTGGTGATCGTCCACCTCGGAGGCCATCAGGGATTTCAGCTTCTCAGCTTTCTCCAAGTCCAACCTCAGCTTCTCTTTCTCTCTGGCCACTTGGTCCACCCTCTCCCTAGAGTGAACACAGCCAGCCTAGATTAGGTCACACCCCCCCAAACCCTCAAAAGAAGGTAGAATCCCAGACTGGTTTGGGTTGGAAGGGACCTTGAAGACCATCCAGTCCCACCCCCTGCCACGGGCAGGGACACCTCCCACCAGCCCAGGTTCCTCCAATCCCCATCCAACCTGCCAACACTTCCTGGGAATGGGCATCCACAGCCTCCCTGGGCAACCTGTTCCAGCATCCAGGTAGTGCAGGGAGAACAGCTTGGAAAGCTCTTCAACAGTCTTTTATCATCAGCTGCATTTAGGCACTGGTTAGGAACTTGCACACATGGCTCTGGTCCTGTCTTGATACCCCAAGGGTCCTGAGACATGTGAACTACTCAGCTGTGGTTTAGCCCCCCGTATTGCCACACTATGCCACTGTGCCAGGCCAATTTCTGCCCCATTTACTTGTTCTCATCATTTTATATCTTTACAACTTCATCCTTACACTACGTCAAATCTGATTTTGATCACACGTTTATTAGATCTGCTACACTGAGCAGCTTTCTTGATGAGAACTTGATGACAAATCTGTCTGAGTGAACATCAAGTATTTAGACATGTAGATGCAAACCATGGGAAGGCCCACATGAAATGGGCAGCTTGCAAACATGAGTAATAAACCATTAGGTAACAGGACACACATGGTCTTAAAGACCTGCAGGTCATCTATGGTGTTGCACAGAGGTGGATGCACTGAGAAATCAACTGTTTTAAGATTTACAGCACAAACCAACCACCATCACCAGCTAGAGCTTGTGCACATGGAAGGTGGATGCAATAGACAACAGGAATGAACCAAAGCAGAACTGAGGGTGTGATGCTTAGAGCAGGGGTCTCCAAAGTGGAGTGGACAAAATGATCCATTGTTGTGTGGGAAGAACTACTGGAGCTTCAGCAGTACATGTATGTAATTAATAAATATGCACACAAGGAAATGTGTCCCACCTCCTGGACTCTCTCACTGGAGAAGCCTGCACAGCAAGTCCAGTGCAAAGTCAAACTGTGTTGACTTTCAAATGAAAAAAAAACTGGGGGTGCGTGGTGGCTTTGAACCTCACCCACACCCCAACACACTGCAAAGGCTACAGAAAGCTACTGCAAGAATCAGGTGGGCTTGAAGGTCTCACTTATCAAATTAGAACTGGAAGAGGGGAGACTGAGATTAGACATTAGGAGGACATTCTTCATTATGAAGGTGGTGAGACCCTGGCCCAGGTTGCCCAGAGAAGCTGTGGCTGCCCCATCCCTGGCAGTGTTGAAGGGCAGGTTGGATGGGGCTTGGAGCAGCCTGGGCTGGTGGGAGGTGTCCCTGCCCATGCAGGGGGTTGGAATTAGATGATCTTTAAGGTCCATCCCAACCCAAACCATTCTGTGACCCTATGAAATTCCACCAGCCTCTCTCCAGTTCTGCATTCCCTGGCCATCAATGATCACTGATGATTGCAGTGACCACTTCCAGACTGCAGAGCAGGGCTGGGCACAGCTGCAGCTTTGATTGAATATATTTTTTTAAAGCATATTTCTTCTGTAACACTTGGGTTTGAGTGCTTTAACCAGACAAAATGAGAGCTGAAAACTTCTCACCAAGCTGACACAGAACCCGGCCTTGCAGCAAAACACTCAGAGAAGTGCTCTGAGCCCCCATTAATCAGCTGCTACTTAAACCCCAGCGTGGCAAAGGGAATGGGCAGAGAGGAAGCAGCAGAGCCAGTGATCCTGGTGACTTACAGCAAGTGTCTGATCTCTGTTTTGAAGCTGGCCAGGGCTGCCTGGTGGACTCCATTCTTGGTGATTAAAAGCTCGTTTTCGAGCGCCAGCGTCAGCTCTGTCAGGTTCACCTTCCCATCCAAGCTGAAATCCAAAGCCTGCAAAACAACACCTCGTCAGAGCAGAACTGGCTCCCCTGCCCTGCAGGAGCCTGGAGACATTCCTACATGAAGTGACAGAATCAAATGAGGAGGCTCAGGAAATATCTCTGCTTGCTGATTAAGCTGTCACAGATGCCTCTGGGGCAACAAACCAGCCATCTCTGCCACCTTCCTACCTTCAAGAACTGCTGCCAGCTGTGGACATGGGAAATGTCCTGCAAGACCAATGGGAAATCAACCCCTCATCTGATTAAAAGTATTAACTCTCTAGAGGACCTAACTACACTGGTCTTTTTACATATTCAGTTGCTGCAAGGAAGTGGCTGAAGATGTTCCTGTTAAACAAAACCAGCTCTTCCAATAGAAAGAGCACAGAAGAAGCCTTCCAGGAGCTGATAGCAAGGATCTCCCCCCTCTTTTCAAGTGAAGTTCTCACCAGCAACTGCTTCTAGTTTCTTTAAACCCAACCCTCCAGGAGCACCAAGTGGGGTGCAGCAGGGCTAGGGTGAAGCTGGAACTGCAGATGCTGGAGAAATCACTCCAGTGACACCAGTAGCAAAGCAAATCACCAGAGGAAAGCAAGAAGTGGGAGAGAACGTACAGGCACACCAGGCTGGTGAAAGCAGTACCAGGTCACCAAGCTGGCCTGCATGAGCCCAGGCTATGAGTGAGTTTTAAAGCCTGAGGAGTAGCAGTTTATTATAACCTGGATGTTCAGTCTCTGTGTGGACATGAAGAGAAACCTGCTGTCATCACTGCTGGGAACCCAGCCATGGTCCCAGGACAGACACATGAACTTACCTTCCTCATCCACTGCTTCTAGTGAGACAGACAGAGAAAGGGTTCACCTCAGGTATCTGACTTGCAACCCTCATTGCCCTTTCACTCCAGATAACACACTAGTTACTGGGCAGGGTTTCACGTGCTGTCCCAACACCTCAGCATAGCAACAATTCAGGTTATCCCAGCACTAAAAGGTCTGCAGGTGCAGCTCTTCAGTGAGGTAAAGGAATTCAATTGCTTTCTACAAATATAGGTGACCCCTCTGAGCTAAGCTGGAAGGCACAGAACATTTTTGTCATTAACTTCTAGATTGCTGGGATGCACCACCATTTCAGTAAGCAGGAAACTTCCCAGAACAGCCAAGACTTGGAATTTTAAAAGGGAAAACAATAATCTAGCTACAGTCCAGCATCCAGGGGATGCTTAACACCCCTTAAGGACTCTCCACAGGGAAGGAAATAAAAGGGGTGAGATGGAGCTGGCTGTTACCTTCAGGATCTCCTGGCTGTTCTCTATGCCCTCCTGGTGCCAGCAGTCGAGGATGTCCTCCACACAGCCACAGCCCATCCCATCATCCAGGCTGGAGAAGAGGCAGAAGCCGAGGGCGCTGGGCATGGCGGAGGGGGTGGCCGTGCGCCTCCCGCTCTCGTCGAAGGACTGTGGGGAGAGGGCAGGGGCTGTGGTGGGGCACAGGCAGAGCCAGGCAGCTGCCCATCCCACCATCAGAAAAGCTTGCAAGTATAATTTCCCTGAGAGTCCTCTGGAGATTAAGGATTAAGGTCTGTTTTCTCCTCGCTGCCAAGCGGGCACCCAGCAGAAACGCGCTGCTGAGCTCGCAGCCCGGCAGCACCACCAGTGCTCTGGGTTTGAACTAAATCCCAGAAGGAAGTTTCAGAGCTGTCATAGAATCATAGAATCTTAGGGGTTGGAAGGGACCTTGAAAGATCATCTAGTCCAACCCCCCTGCCAGAGCAGGGTCATCTAGAGTACATCACACAGGAACGCATCCAGGTGGGTTTTGAATGTCTCCAGTGAAGGAGACTCCACAGCCTCCCTGGGCAGTCTGTTCCAGTGCTCTGTCCCCAGTGCCCTAAAAATGTTTTCCACTCTGGTTTGTTTTCCAGTGTCACCTCCCCTAAAAAGGCTGCAGGGAGCATATCACAGAATCCCAGACTGGTTTGGGTTGGAAACCCAACCTCCCAGCAGCCCAGGTTGCTCCAAGCCCCATCCAACCTGCCCTTCAACACTGCCAGGGATGGGGCAGCCACAGCTTCTCTGGGCAACCTGGGCCAGGCTCTCACCACCCTCACAGCAAATAATTTCTCCCTCAGATCTCACCTAAATCTCCCCTATTCCAGTTTTATTCCATCCCCCCTTGTCCCCTCTCCAGCTTTCCTGGAGCCCCTTCAGGGACTGGAAGCTGCTCTAAGGTCTCCCTGGAGCCTTCTCTTCTCCAGGCTGAACACCTCAACTCTCCCAGCCTGTCTCCAGAGCAGAGCTGCCCCAGCCCTTGGATCATCCTCATGGCCTCCTCTGGACTTTCTCCAGGAGCACCATGTCCTTCCTACACTGGGGGCTCCAGAATGGGACGCAGCACTCCAGGCACACAGGTACTTTTGCTACAGCCCTCAGCTTCCATGCAAAGATGCGTAGTAGAATGTGGAGGAAGAGGAGGAGACAGGCTAGGTGGAATTTGCCCAGGACTTCTCCCCCTCCTCCTGCTTTTACCTCGGGATCCACCCGGCTTCCTCACCTGCATGGAGAGGTGTCGTTTCAGCTGCCTGTACGGGGTAGATGCTGAGGGTGTCAGGGACTTCCCATTTTTAAACAAGCCGTAGAAGAAATCCTCTACACTCATGGTGCCATCTTGCTCCAGGTTACAGAGCACCTCTTCAATTACCTGCCAGCAGCAGGGGATAGAAATCACATCTGTTATTGCCAGAAACACCACAGCAACCATTTGGCACAGCAGAAAATGTCCTATTCCTGAGGCTCTACAAGCACAAAGCAAAGCAAGAGAGTCACTTGGTGCTCTGCATCAGCCTCACCCCAGCACAGGAACCTTTGTATAGAAAATGGCAAAGCCACAGACACTGTGAAAACCCTGCTTGGAAGAGCTTGGGAGCTCCTGCTCATCCGGGAGCCTCCAGGCCACAAGGCAGCACCAAGAACCCTCATTTCCTGCTGCTCTCAAGACAGGGTGAGCTCAGGAATTCAGAGCAAGGTAACAACAGGTGCCAAAACCCCAGAGGCTTGTGAAGTGACCAGGCAAAAAAAAACAAAGTAAGGCACTGCAAGGTTATAATAAACCTGTTTTATCCTCCAGGGCAGGAGCAAGACCAACCTTATTAGGCCCAGAGATGTTAAGGTCAGTCCCTCACTATTTTGTTGGTCTTTTTTTTCCCCCCCTCCATTTTCTGCCTTAATATTCTGAAAATACTTTGTTGCAAAGGCTACACAGGGATGCCTGCTCAGAAACATCCTTTATGAAGGAAATGATTACAAGCCTTGTCATTTTAAGATGCAGAACAATCTGATTTTTTATAAAACTAAATCCTAAGTTGACAAGAGACTTTTTTTGCTAAAGAAATAATTTCCTTCCGGACACTTCCTGAAGGACAGAAACTGCCTGCAGGCCTTCTCAAAGTCAAATGCAACCACCTGTGAATATTTTAACCCATATTTACTTTCTAGCTAGAAGATTTCTGGGATTAAGGAGACACACTTGGAATCTGGAATATGTTTTTCAATTCCACTTCCCTCTGTGGCTGCACGAGAGGACACGCACGCTACCATCTTGGCAAGGCTGGCAGCTGCCTTCTTCCAGAGCAGCCTCCCACCTTTGATGGCTTGACACCAGATAAACTCACTTGAAACTGGAACTGAAAACTGCTTTCCAAGCAGCGACCTGTTAGCCAGGTGCTTGTGATCAACAAGATGTGGCCACTCACCTCCCCGGCTGCCATCCGGAGCCCATATTGCTCACAAAGGGAGATCAGCTTCTTACGGTTGAGGTGGCCATCCCTGGTGATGCCAAGGTCCTCACACACCTCCTGCAGTTTCTCCTCTATCCACTCTGGGGTGGGCAGTGATGCTCCAGGGGAGGCATTCAGGTCGTCTGGGTTCCAGAAGCGCAGCTGTCCTGGAAATGGAGGAAATGGCTCCGGTTTCTGCCCATCCGCTGCACACCAGTGGTCACCAGAAGACCCAGGGGTTCTGCACATCACAGAGGACTCAGTCCTGCAGCAGGCACACCCTTCCTCCTTGCTCCTCAGAACCCATGGGAGCATTTGCCTGACCTCATCCTGCAAAGAGCACCCTTGTGATTTTGGGGTAGGGCTACCAGCACAGCTACCAGACTCTACCAGAACCACCACAGCCAGGAGGATCTCCAGGGACATGGATGAGTCCCATGGCCAACACAGACTGGTGGACAGGGGAAGCTCAGCTGTGCAGCCTCAGCTGCTGACACAAGAGAGAAGGGACTCCTGGTCACTTATGGGATCAAGGAAAAGGACTGAGCAAGTTGCATACCCACATACACCTTGACCAGGTCAACTTGGGTGGTGATTGCCCATCTCCATACATGTCACCTCCCCCGGTGGAGCTGCCTGAAGCTCCCAAAATCCCCTTTGAACATAAACTGTGGTGTCTGTTTTGATGTAAGTACTTCCAAACAGCCCTTCAGGGGAAGAAAAAACCCAACAGCCTTCAGCTGAACACATTTACTCTACCTCCAGCACATGCCTGGAGTGCAGCCTCACCCAGCTGGAAACACTCACCAAACACACAAAAAAAAGCTTGCTCAGCTGCAAGGCCACCTCGCTCTGGGGTTGGGAAAGCAAGATTTTGGAGCAAAAAATTTGGCACAGTTGGGCAGGGTAGAGAGCAGCTGAAATCTGGAAGAGGTGGTGAAGCTGTGAAAAGCTGCGTGGCTGAGTCACAAACACACCTCTGAGTGCTGTGGGTTAGTGCCCAAGCCTGTCACCCGGGGGTCACCCTGCTCTCCCTCACAGGACAATTAGGAAGCATCTAATGACTGACTGGTCCGTGCTGACATCTAGTGCCCACCGTGCTCCACTACAGCCCCCGGGGCAGGAGCAGGAACCAGAATCACCAAGGCTGGAAAAGAACTTTGAAATCATCAAGTTCAGCCTATGACCCACCCCCACCACATCAGCCAGATCATTTACCCTCGACGCTTAACCATAGACCTATAACAGTAGACCCTGACCCTAGACCATATAATCTAACCAGGACCAGCCCTGGCTGCTGCTCTGGGGGTGCTGGGGCCAGGGAAAGCAAGAGTCCTGGCAGAGCAGCCTCTGCACTGGGCAGGAGGGAGAAAAGAAGGCAGAGAGGGTAAAACATGAGACTGTGCCCTCCCAGGAGCCCCACTTGAGCTTCATTCCCAGCTTGAGGCTTGCTTGCCCCATGTGTACCTTCCCAAGCTCTGCACCAGCCAGGCTGGGACTGCTCAATGCACCCATCTGGCCTGAGACCACCTCCAAGTGCTCCTCTGATTCATCTTCAAAGCTGAAAAGAGAAGGAGCCCACCCAAGTGCTGCTGCTTGCTCTTACCCTCAGCCTCATACTCCTCGCTGTCTTGTGTCTTCCAGTGCTGGGGAGAAAACAAAAGGTTCCCCAGTTATTACTGTTGCAAGACATCAGCTGTATGAAAGAGACTCCACAATCAGCATCAAACGAGCTACAGGGCTCCAGCAACCCTGCCAGGCTTTCATCTCCTCACTCCCTGAGGGCTGAGCTGGCAATCCACAGCTCTTTGATGCTTCCTGCTTCTGGCAGCTAGGGCTGCAAGGGGATCAACCTCAGCTGCAGCTGAAGACCCTGAAAGCCCCGTGAATGACCCACGAGAGGAGGCAGATCAGAGTCTGGCAGGTTGATGGGGAGGGAGAAATTTGCCCCCCAGGTAAACCAAACCAGGCTCCTTGTCTTCCAGTACCTGAAGGGGCTGCAGGGAAGCTGGGGAGGGAATTTGTACAAGGGCAGGGAGGGATGGGATGAGGGGGAATGGTTTTAAATTGGAAGAGGGGAGATTTAGGTGAGACATTAGGAGGAAATTCTTCAGTGTGAGGGTGGTGAGAGCCTGGCCCAGGTTGCCCAGAGAAGCTGTGGCTGCCCCATCCCTGGCAGTGTTGAAGGGCAGGTTGGATGGGGCTTGGAGCAACCTGGGCTGGTGGGAGGTGTCCCTGCCCATGGCAGGAGGTGGGACTGGATGATCTTTAGGGTCCCTTCCAACCCAAACAAGTCTGGGATTCTACAATTCTGAGATGTATCAATGGCTGAGATGATGAGGATGCAGGAAGATCAGGAGCTGCATCCAGGCACCATTTGAGCTGGCATTATCCTTTCCTTCCAGCATCCCCTTTTCCCATTGCAGAACAGGCACCTGCAGCCAGCCTGCAAGCCAGGACACAAGCACAGAACCCCGAGTCTCAGGCACCCCCATCACAGGCAGCCCTTGGCAGAAACCTGGGGGGCACGACAGCACCTCATGGCCCTGCTCCCCTCCACAGGCAATCCAGGCCAGCCACAGAACCTGGGCATCCCGGGGACCAGGGAACACCCATCCCTGATGGGCAAACCCATGACTGTGGAAGGAACATCTGCTTCCAGAGCATGTGTGGTCTGGGAAACAGAGCTTCTGCCACTTTCTGCTTTCCCTCTGGACACATGGCACCCGTCTGCTTGCAGAGCTGGGGGGGTCAGCAGCCCATGCTGGGCCAAGCCCACTCCAAAACAGCTCCACCAACTGCAGTCCTGGGTCAGGAGACAGAGTTGTGCTGCCAGCAAGCTCTCCACTGAGCTAGAGAAAAAAAACAACAAACCCAAACACACACTCCTTGCAGGTCTTAAGCCATCCCACTTCCTCTCTGGCAACACCACATCAGCTCAGCAGCATCCGGAGCAGAAGTTGTTTAAAATGATTTCCCCATGTTCTACAAGTTGTCTTCTCTCTGCCAGCCTTGTACCAGCCCAGGGCATCTACTCAGACACAGTGGTCAGTGATATTAACTTCTGGTTTAGCAGCAGCAGATGTTACTTCTCTGCTACAAGCGGGTAGTTCTGCACACACGTGACTGACAGATTTGGAAGTCAAAGTCACCCAGGACATAAAGAGGCTCTAAATCATCATATAAAAGTTCAATACCTCTCATTCGGATTACAGCTAAAAGCCATTAATCTACAATGTTACCATGGAAACTGGATTAGGTCACTGGACTTTTTTTAGCTCTGCTGGTTGCTCCTGTTTCAGCTGCTGGACCAGGCAAGGACCATTTGCTTCTGCTGCAGCTTGTTGTACCCCTCTGCTTTTGGGGACAATGACAGGGCTGGACTCAGGGAGAGCCCCAGATGGAGAGGGGGGCTCAGCCTCTGCTTTCCCAGGCAGAAATCAGCCCGGTGGAGGCATCAAAGGCAGGGCTGGAGCCTGGGGCTCTGCTGGATGTTCTGGACAAGAATGTGTAACACTGCACTAGAAAGCTGGGGATTTTAGCCCAAACAGGCTCTCTTCTGCCAGAACCACCTTCAAGGTGTGTCAGTTTTCTGGTTAGCCTGATACAACCATCAGGACCAGCACACAAAAAGAAGGAGCTGAGGCAACAGGTACTGCCAAATTACCACCTGCAAAGGCAGGAAACAGCCCACGTTCCCAAAAATGCACAAGGTGACACCAGCCCAGCCCTGCAGCCACTCATCCTTCTGGTGGGGCTACCAAGGTGGATCTGGGAGGTGATGCTCAGAGAGGAGCATCCACTGCTGTGCCCAAACCCCTTTGCATAAGCAACACAGATATTTATATACAGCATCAGATCTAAGTTATTCACCACCAGACTCTCTCAGTTACCTCAAAACCAAGAGCCCCAAACCCCAGGACACAGTAATTCACTCAGGAATCCCAGACTGGTTTGGGTTGGAAGGGACCTGAAAGATCATCAGGTTCCAAGCCCCCTGCATGGGCAGGGACACCTCCCACCAGCCCAGGTTGCTCCAAGCCCCATCCAACCTGCCCTTCAACACTGCCAGGGATGGGGCAGCCACAGCTTCTCTGGGAAACCTGGGCCAGGGTCTCACCACCCTCAAGACCTCTTAAACTCTACAGATACAAACCCCGGGGGGCTGGTGTGACCTCCCTCCGCGCTGGGGTGGGCTCAGGGGGCCCTGCTGCGCTGGGGGTCGGGAGGACAAAGGGAGGGATGGCACCTCCAGACGCCCAGGCAGGGCATTGTTCCCGGTGGTGCTACAGCTGGAGCCGGGTCCCCCAGCCGGGTGGGAGGGGGGGGTCCCAGGAATGCAGCCCCATTCTTCGGGCAGGCCGAGCTGAGGAGCAGATGGTCGCGGCTTTCAATGCTCAGCAGCCTCCAGCTCGGGGCTGCATCTGCAGCCTGTGCAGTTTGCTGGCCCCGGCCTCTCCCCACGACAAGGCAGCAACCTCTCCTACCCCCCCACACCCCCCCTCCCCACCATCTGCTTCGGCAAGACAGACCTTTGTTCTCCACCAGAATATATTGCTAATTAAAACGACGCTCAGGAGCGCCGGCCGAGCCCGCTGTGCTGCACACGTGGTGAGGGGAGCACCCCTTCCAGGGGCTGACAGGCCCCCCTCCCCAGGCAGCCTGCCCAGAGGGTCAGCTCCCCGAGCCTGAGCAGCCAGAGACCCCCCCAAACCTGGCACATCTCCACAGCCTGCTGTGCAAATGGTCTTCAGCCACAACGCGCCAGAGTCACACCAGAAACACCCTCGTTTTGGGAAATGAGCCCTACCCCTGTTACCTGCAGGTACTGGCTTTACAGAGCCACAGAGGTGTTCTGGCTGGGAAAGACCTTTCAGATCACCAAGTCCAACCCATCCCCCAGCCCTGCCAAGGCCACCACTGCCCCATGTCCCTCAGCACCACATCTACAGGCTTTGAATCCCTCCAGGGATGGGGACTCAGCCCTGCCCTGGGCAGCCCTTTCCATGAAGAAATTGTTCCCAGCCAGTGCCAGAGATACACATCTTTGACCACCACAAGCTTTCACATTACATTCCTAGTTGCTTTCATGGCTGCAGCTCCATTAGCACCACATCCATAAAGCTGCCTTGGTTCTCGTCATCCATTAGCTTAGTAGCATCGTGGGGACAAACTCAGAGGGGTCAGAGGGAACCTCAGGATCCCTCCACCACCGTCTGCTCATGGCAGCTTCAGTCCAGACCTGGCTGCTCATGGCTTTGCCCAGTGGCACCAGGGAAGCCAGCAGGGATGGAGGTGGCAGAGCCTCTCTGGGCAGCTGATGCCATGAACAGACCAGCCCTCCAGCCTCTTCTCTTGTGTTTACAGAGACAAGAAGAGGCAGGAATCCTCTCAGACAGAGCCTGAGCCCTTTTAATTGGCATCAGTTGAAAGCAAGCACCAATTAAGCCACCCTGCCCCAGTTCTCAGGCCAGCTGGGCTGCAGGCAGGCTTGGGGAGCAGAGGCAGCAGCATGTTTATACAGACAGCTGGGCAAAGTCTGGTAGTTGTGCCAAGAAGTCAACTTGTCAGGAGTCTCCAACACCACCCAGCCCCAGGACCACTAATGCTTTCAAGAAACTCATTTCTACACGTACTGAGGGGATCTTCTTTTAGAGACAAGACAGCAAAGCTCATCAAGATGAAAAGTGGGGATTTCACAAATTTATCCTGGTTTTTGCTCAAGCTGCGAGAGCATCAACCATCCCATCCATCCCAAAAGGTGAAACACCTCCAGGACATGGATGCAGCCAGCAGGGAGCACAGGGAGGTAACAGTGGAGCTAACTGACTGACCTTCTTAATAACCTGGGCTTTTGCACCCCTTTGACATTGAAAACAGAGGAGCAAGATTAGAGTGGCCTCTTCTATCCAGGGCTTGGCTTCCCTGGGGATTGTGGGCAGATTAACATTGATTTCAAGGTCAGGGCAGCCCATGTGGCCAGAACCAGGAGATGAATGAGCAACCCCATGGTGGTGAGCAAAGGTTATCCAGAACAGGGTGAAGAACCTGGCTCTGGTGGATATGTTCTCCTTCAATGTTCTTTTTCTTTGTTTTCAAGCTCAGCTGCATAGGAGTAACCCTGGGAAGTGGGAATTTCTGCCTTGCTTCCCCTTGGGCATCCCCTCATCTCTAGGTAAGCACAAGTGAAGCCAGGAGACAGGGGAGTGGAGAAAGCAGCAGCATTTCTCCTTCCCACTGGAAAGCTCCCACCCCACACTCCTGAATTGACAATGCTGGGCAAACTGGGGCAGCCTGGAACCAGCCCAGCTCCAGGGAAATGCTGCTGTGGCCACATGCTAACACACACCACCAAACCCAACCCCTCTTCACCTTCTGCTTTTCTCTTCTGGAGACAGAAGAGGAGATGCTGGGCACAAGCACAAAGTGAGCCACTGGTTTTGATCACAAGACCCAGAGTTAAAAAGACCTTCAGATTTTTGAGCAAGGCACGTGTGGAGCACAGGGCTTCCAAGAGCTGTGCAGCTCCTGGGACATCCAACAAAAGGATGGAGCACACAAGCTGGGAGGATGCAGAGGACTGACCAGAGAAGCTGGTGGCTCTGAATTTAGGACACGGTCCCATGGTCATGGGACAGCTACTCTGCAGCTCACCACCCCTCTTCCCCACATCCAGGAGCCAGGGATGGGTCTTTGTGTGTGAGCTAATGGATGAGGATGTGCTCCTTCTGCTCCTTCAGCTCCCAGCCCACACCTCGTTAGCCAGGGAGGCATCATTACAGCCCTGGCTTAATTGCTGCCACACTCAGCGCCAGGAGCCCAGCAGCACCAACCCGGACACAGCCCCCTCGTCCAGGATCCTCCTGCTTCCCTGGCAGCCTGGGAAGGCTGGGAATTCTGGTCTGGAGTGAGGGAGGTGCTGCCTGGCACAGCTGATCCCCGAGGACAGGCAAGGAGGGCAACCATCGCCTTGGCTGGGATGTCCCCAAGGTCACCCAGAGCCTCTTCGGGTGGTGTGGGGGGCAGTGAGATGATGAGGGTCCAGAGAAGGGCCAGGAAGATGATCCCAGGGCTGGAGCAGCTCAGCTCTGGAGACAGGCTGGGAGAGTTGGGATGTTCAGCCGGGAGAAGAGAAGGCTCCAGGGAGACCTTAGAGCAGCTTCCAGTGCCTGAAGGGGCTCCAGGAAAGCTGGGGAGGGGCTTGGGACAAGGACAGGGAGGGATGGGACGTGGGGTGATGGTTTTTAACTGAGAGAGGGGAGATTTAGGTTAGATATTAGGAAGAAATTCTTCACTCTAAGGGTGGTGAGGAACTGGAATGGGTTGCCCAGGGAGGTTGTTGATGCCCCATCCCTGGAGGTTTTTAAGGCCAGGTTGGACGAGGTTTTGTGCAGCCTGGTCTGGCGGTTCCCTGCTCATGGCAGGGGGGTTGGAGCTTGATGATCTTTAGGGTCCCTTCCCACCTTAATGATTCCATGCCTTTATGCTGGGGGCAGTGACAGGTGGGGGGGGGAGCTCCCCCCAGCACCCGGCCCCTTCCCGCTCACCTGCTGGCAGCCACTGGAGGGACAGGTGTGTGTGGGGCAGGTGTCCTGGCCCAGCGGCTCGATGACGGTCACCTCGGCAAAGTCCTCCTCCGACGCCTGGAACTCGGGCAGGGAGCGCCGGCCGTAGCGTTTTCCCCCCTTGATGTACTTGGGCTGTGCTTCCGGGGAGGAATCTGTGAAATTCCAACACAGAGCACATCAGTGAGGTGATACTTGAATTTGTTTCCAGCTCCTGGGTGACAGGACACAGGGCTGGGGCAGCTGCAGCGTTTCAAGCACCACCGTTCCCCCTGGGTAGCCACCAGTGGCTGCTCCTTTTTGCTGCCCTGACGGGTTGGAATGGGTCCTGCTCCCCAAAAAAACCAAACCAACACTGGTGCAGGATCATAGAGTTGGAGTCATCAAGGTTGGAAGGCACCTCTTGAGACCATCTAGTCCAACTGCCCTGCTTGAACAGGATCAGCTACACAGAAAAACATCCAGGCAGGTTTTGAATGTCTCCAGAGAAGGAGACTCCACAACCTCCCTGGGCAGCCTGTCCCAGGGGAAAAAGGGAAGTAGAATCAAGGCTCCATCTTCCTCACACTTCCCCAATTCCCAGATCAAGTTTGCTCCATTAACAAGATGCAAGGAAAAAAGCCTTCCCAGCCTCAGATGGAAAGTCAATTAGGTCTCCCGTCCTCATGCTAATCTTCATTACCAGCGCTGGGCAGGTTTAATTAGGGACAGCATTGCACTTAGGCAGCTCAACTCTCCAGATTACACAGACTCCTGGGTGACCACTGCAGCTTCCAGTGGATTGAAACCACAGCTCGACTAAAAGCGTGAGGACAACTGGACAAGTGGAAAAAAAACGGGCAAGTTTGAAGGAGAACATCTCTCCCAGGGCCTCAATGAGCAGCTGATCTGGGCAACAACAGGGGCAGGTCCCAGCTTGTGCTGTGCAGCTAATGCCGACTGCAAGATCTAAATAACCCTTTGGAGTCATCCTCTAATTACAGGGGTCTCTGCGGCTCCGCTCGCATTCCCCGGCTCCAGCTTCCCGCAGCAACCTCCTGCCTTTGGGGACTGAATTATCCAGGAAGACTCACAGACAGGGGATCAAAACACAAAATAAATAAGCACATTTTGGGGCTATTTTCAGCAAAGAGTCACGCGACGTCTGGAGCAGGGGGCAAATTAAACACAGGACCAAATTAACCAGGGATTCAATTAGGGAAAGGCTCTCTGCCGTGCTTTGTCTCAGTCTTTGCTAACCTTACCCATCAAAAACCCCCCCCAGGACTTGATCATCTTTATTTTTCTGCCACTGAGGCAGTGGCAAGAGCAGCAGCTTTTTAAAATTTTATTTGCAGAGTGCTCTGGCACAAAAATAAATGCAAGAGTGCAATACTAATAAGGCAGAGGGAAGCTGTTCAATCATTGACAAACAGTACACAGAAAGCAGCGGGTCTCTAACCCTCCCCCCTTTGCCCAAATGCCTCCTTGGATAATATTCCTTTAGATATGGAAGAAGGCTTCAAGCTTGTTAGAGGAAAAAATATTCTGCAACTTAGCTATGCAATGAATTATAAAATACACAAGACCAGGAGCCCTTTGATTCCTCCAGCCTCACGCTCCAGCCCTCTATATTGCAGCTCTAGGGAACAAACCCGGCGCCCGTGTTTGAACAAGGCCCATTTTAACAAGATTTGCTGCAGCTGGGACTCCCACATGAAAGTTGTGTGATGAAGTGTGCCCGATAGAAAAATCGCAGGGAGACAGGCTGATTAAGTAAGAGCCCCAGAACAAAAGCAAACCTTATCACTCCTATTAAAGCCTGCCCGGTGGTGAACAATCTCCATCCAGCAGCTCTCTCTGAAATGCTAATATTTGTGGCGACTCATTCACCCATTATTTCTCTCCCTGCCATCTCCCCCGCCCTTGCAGAAGAGGGCTGGGGGGGCTTGGGTGTTGTGGAGAAATAATTCTCCCTCCTCTAAGCCAGAAACACACCTCAGTGCCCATCTGTCTTTGGAAAGATGGAGGGAGGAAGGAAGAATCCATAATTTAGCAATAATGAAGCTACGTCTTCATTTCCTTCTGGATTTCCCAATGCTCAGAAGAATCCTGTTTCCACCCACCCCTGACAGAGTGTTCAACCACTGCTGCAGCTGAAAAAAATCCAGCTGCCCATGGAAACACCCAAGGCTTGGTGCTGTGCCACCCTGCCAGTGCTTGAGGAGCACACCGGGAACGGGAGCATCTCCTGGCTTCTGTGGTTTAAGCATCTGGAGGCTGGGGGCCGGTTTCCCTCTCTCCTCTCTGGTCTGAGCACTTGCACATGGCTTGTTTTGCCTTTGCAGCTAAAGAGTTGTGAACCCAGAGAAGATCCCCGGGAGGGAAAGGTGATCTCTCATGGCTTGAGAGGAGCAGAAAGGTTGTTCCTGCCATGCAAAGCTGAACCAGGCTGTGCCTGGGCCCAGCTTCCAAGGGGATCCCATCTCCACTGGCTGCTCAGCCACCCTGACATCCCCTTTCCAGAGCCAAGGTGAAACCCCTGACATGGGGTTTCAGCTCTTCCCCTGCAAGTCTCCATACACCTTCAATTCATTCAGGGTGAAGAACAAAGCCTCTTGTTATGGGGCCACAGGCACTGCACCAGCATAAGGCACCTCATCCTGCATCAGCAGCCAGTGCCCTTGATGCTCCCATCCCCATATGTATAGAATCAAAGAATCATTAAAGTTGGAAAGGATCCTAAAGATCATCAAGCTCCAACCCCCCTGCCATGAGCAGGGAACCACCAGACCAGGCTGCACAAAACCTCATCCAACCTGGCCTTAAAAACCTCCAGGGATGGGGCATCAACAACCTCCCTGGGCAACCCATCCCAGTTCCTCACCACCCTTAGAGTGAAGAATTTCTTCCTAATATCTAACCTAAATCTCCCCTTTCTCAGTTCAAAACCATCACCCCTTGTCCTGTCACTGTCTTCTCTGGTGAAAAGTCCCTCCCCAGCTTTCCTGGAGCCCCTTCAGGCACTGGAAGCTGCTCTAAGGTCTCCCTGGAGCCTTCTCTTCTCCAGGCTGAACAGCCATAAAAGAAAGCTGAGCATACATGCCAACAAAAAAAGAGCAACTCATGCTCCCCAAATGCAGAAAGTTCCTTGATGAGCTGAACAGTTTCTCATTTCCAACCCAAGCTCACTGGGAAGGATGGAAAGAGCTGCTCAAGCCACACGTGCTGTTAAAGACTCGTAAGAAAAACCAGAGGGATGTCAAAAAATCAACGCTTCCAGTGAGGCAGATGGACATGAGACAGTCCCCTGGGCTATTTATTCCAAATAATGTCAAATATGTCCTGTATTGAGCAGGGAGGGGAGGCTGCACTGGCTGCAGCCTGGCCTCTGCTACCCACCAGCTTCCACAACCAGCAGCAAGGCAAGATGCTGCTTCTCAGAGACCCTCACTATTGTGCAGCTGGCAAGCTGACAAGGAAGGGGAGGGAGAAGAAGAAAAGAAAATAGGTCGACCCCTCCCACTGCTGCCTACAGCCCTCGGCAATGCACGGGCTTAGTAAAACACACACTCCGGAGCTGGCACCTAATTAGACACTGGGGTCTTGATCTGCCCCCCTGAACTGCCCCTGGGCTGAGGGGGATGGAGCAGGAGCTGCCAAGGGAGGGAGCCCCTTGCCTTCCTGCCCCACTGCCTGGGGGGGTTCTGGACCCCCAAGTGTCCCCTGAAAAAAAAACAAAACCAGCACCAAACAACCACCAAGCATCACCCCAAACCTGCATTTCAGAAGCAATCCCCAGGTCTCAGCACTGCAGAGGGGAGCCAGGGCTCCCCCAGCTCACTCCTCCCTCCCCGGCCAGCTCCGCAGTCACACGTCTCCACGCTTGGAGATTTACACTTGATTTTCTGCCTTTCTGAGCTAGTAGATAAGTCATTTCAAACCCCTGCTCTGCCCTCAGACGCTGGCGAGGAGGAGAAGGGGGTGGGAGGGCTCCCCTTGATGGGGAGCAGCGTTTTCCTGGCCCCAGCATCAAAGCCACCGAGCGCAGAAAAAAGGGGGTTTAGAGGAGGACCCCTCAGCCCTGCCAGCCTGGTGTTCAGAGGCAACATCCATTTCTTTGCTGCTTAAGATGTGGCAGGGAAGGGATCCTCTTCCCGGCAGCAGTCAGCACATGGCAGCTTGGATCTGCTAAACCCTAATCCCCCGAGACACCAGGTACTGTCTAAACTCCTCCTTGTCCCCGTTTCATGCTTCAGGCTCAGCAGCCGAGGTGGAACGGAGGGGCAGCAGGGTCACAGTGACCCAAAACCCAGGCATTTTGGCCCAGGGGTGTTGCCTGTGCCTAAATCACCCCTGTCATAGAATCATTAAGATCGGAAGGGACCCTAAAGATCATCAAGCTCCAACCCCTCTGCCATGAGCAGGGAACCACCAGACCAGGCTGCACAAAACCTCGTCCAACCTGGCCTTAAAAACCTCCAGGGATGGGGCATCAACAACCTCCCTGGGCAACCCATTGCAGTTCCTCACCACCCTTAGAGTGAAGAATTTCTTCCTAATATCTCACCTGAATCTCCCCTTTCTCAGTTCAAAACCATCACCCCTTGTCCTGTCACTGTCTTCTCGGGTTTAGAGGAGGACCCCTCAGCCCTGCCAGCCTGGTGTTCAGAGGCAACATCCATTTCTTTGCTGCTTAAGATGTGGCAGGGAAGGGATCCTCTTCCCGAAAGCAGTCAGCACATGGCAGCTTGGATCTGCTAAACCCTAATCCCCCGAGACACCAGGTACTGTCTAAACTCCTCCTTGTCCCCGTTTCATGCTTCAGGCTCAGCAGCCGAGGTGGAACGGAGGGGCAGCAGGGTCACAGTGACCCAAAACCCAGGCATTTTGGCCCAGGGGTGTTGCCTGTGCCTAAATCACCCCTGTCATAGAATCATTAAGATCGGAAGGGACCCTAAAGATCATCAAGCTCCAACCCCTCTGCCATGAGCAGGGAACCACCAGACCAGGCTGCACAAAACCTTGTCCAACCTGGCCTTAAAAACCTCCAGGGATGGGGCATCAACAACCTCCCTGGGTAACCCATTCCAGTTCCTCACCACCCTTAGAGTGAAGAATTTCTTCCTAATATCTAACCTAAATCTCCCCTTTCTCAGTTCAAAACCATCACACCCCTTGTCCTGTCACTGTCTTCTCTGGTCAAAAGCCCCTCCCCAGCTTTCCTGCAGGCAAATGTCCCAGTGGTGGCACTGGTTTTACACCTGTCCCCATCCAGGTCTGCTTGCAGAGCCAGAGCTCTACAGCCTTCCCCACCACAGGGACATCATCCCCACCAGCTCCTCCTTGGGAGGGTAACTCTGTGTGCTGGGAAGAAAGAACCCCAACAACCCATCATGACCATACACAGAATCACAGGATCATTCAGGTTGGAAAAGACCTCCAAGATCATCAAGTCCAACCATCAACCCAACCCCACCATGCCCACCAAACCATGTTTTGAAGAGCTATGTCCACATATTTTTTAAATGCCTCCAGGGATGGTGACCCCACCACTGCCCCAGGCAGCCTGTCTGAATGTCTGAAAACTCTTTCAGTAAAGAATTATTTCATCAAACTCCTCTTTAATTTGCCCTGGGTGTTCCTGTAATCCTGTGCTCCACCCAGTAATCCCTCCCTATCCAAGCTTCCAACAACCAGAGCTGACTTTTTATTTGTCATAATGGGGAGGGAAAAAAAAGCCTCGTTATTTTTTTTCCCCCTAAACACCCACATAACTGATTTTTTTCTCCTGTCTCTCCCCTTAAATCCATGTTCTTGTCCCCAGACACCCCCTCACTAACATGTCTCCCCCACAGTCCCAGTCCTCCAGACCTGCATGCAGGAGCTAAAATTAACCATTATTTTAAGAGAGATTCTTGCTTTTCCTGGAGTCTCCCCTGTTTCTTTGCCCACCACCTCCCAGCAGAGCTGGGGTTTGCCCAACTGGCTGGTGCTCAGGTTGGCAATTGGGTCTGTGTCCCCACACCAGTGTCCTGGAGGCGACAGAGCTGATGACAGCGGCACTGGGAGCTCTGCCTGCCCTGGTTTTCAGGGCTGCTTCCCAGGCAAAATGCCCACATCCCATCAGGACCATCCTCCCTGCCAGACTTTTTAGCTTCCTTGCCAAGAAAACAATGAATTAATATATTAATCAGCTTCTCTGCAAGCCTGAGTGCCTCTCCCACCTGCTTCTTCCCCCCTCAAAACAGGGAAAACCCCATCAGCCACTTCTGCAGGAACTACTTTTGCATCCCAGGGCAGTTTTGGTTCCTCATTCCCAGCCCGTGGGGTCCTGCTGTGTCCCCAGGGGCTGCTCTGTCACCTGTGGGGACAGCATTGCCATGTCCCCTTGGCCATGAAGCACCAGCTGCCTGGGGGCTGCAGGGCAGCAGCTGGTTGGGAGAGCAGAGCCCTCCAGCTGCTGGCACACCCAAGGGACCTTCCCACCCCTCAGGTCACCAGGTAAAACCACAGCATGGAGCCACATGGAGGTCCTTGCAGGATCATCTCTCCAGATGCAGCAAACAGCTTTAAAACCTCTGCACTTCCCCCCTTCCCCCTCCCCAAATTAAATTTTCATTTAAATGATACAATTTAGAGCTCTTAACTCAATTTCCCCCAAGCCCGGGGCAGGCTGCACCACCAGCATTTCCACAGTCACTGACAAGTTTGACACCAACAGCACAAAGCAGCTTGTTCACCAAATCTCGAGTTTGATCTAAATTAAAAGGAGCAAAGACTTTGGCATTAACCGACCTGTCAAAACGCATTAAAATTAAATGCCTCCCAGGCCTGCCCGGTGCAGCCTCCCTACCTGCACCTCCTGCCCTTTGATTACCTGCTCTGCAAACCCCAGCCAACAAAACATGTCCCCAAGGAGGGCTCTCCAGCTCCAGTGCAGCCTCCATTGGTAATTTCCCCGGAGATAACCCCAAATTTACCCCTTCCTCGAAGATTGATTTGTATTTAAATGGAGCTGGAGCTTCTCAGCCATATGATTCCCCCATAAATGCTGAGTGTTGGATTAGTTCTGGTTCACTGGGGCTGCCTCCTGCTCTGTGCCAGCTCTGGGGGGGCTGGAAAGGATGGCAGCAGATCCGACCCCTCACCAGGCACTGGTGAGGTTCCCCCCTCACTCCTCAACACCCCTGGACCTGCACTGGGAATTGCATGAAGGAATGGCAAGGGCAGGAGCTGCCATCACCCATCTCCCTCTAAACACTCGAGAGCTTGGGAAACGAGGGGTGGAAAAAACAAACTTAAATCCATCAGTTGCATCTCTTGGGCCCTGTGAGGTTTTTTGGAGCCTGTTTGAGGGAGAAGGTTGTTGTTTTGCTGACTGCTGGGGGATGCTCCAGCTGAGGGTGATGCTCCAGGAGAGGAAACCTGGTGTTTCTCCTCTCTACTCCCCCCTTGCTAAGCTGTTCTCTCCTTCAGGGCTTTTGCACTTGGGCTGCTCCCAGGGCAGGGTTAGGGATTTACAAACAGGTGTGAGCCCCCAGCCTCCCTCTGCAGCTGGAGCTGCTCTCTGGGCCCCACAACCTCCCCAGTGCTCCCAGCATCACCAGCCCCTCGTGCACTGGCAGAGGGGGGCACACCAAGGCTGTGACCTTACTTCCTCCTGAGGGTCTAACCAGCCATATTTTAAAGGAGAGAACAGGACAGTGAGGACTTGTAGCACCCACCATTTTCCCTGACCAGCCCCCACCTGGTTTGTCAAAGGGTTCATCTTGTCCTGAAGCACCTTTGGGGCAGACTGACTGTTCTGTGGGAGAAACAGAGAGACCAGAGAAGCCTCCAACAGGACTGAGATCACCCTGATCACCTCAGACACCAGGGAAACACAAGGGAATTTTAAAATAAAACCCAGCAATAGACAGGAGGGGTATATCTCTGTCTCCAAGCAGCAGCAGCTCTTGCAGAGAGCTTCCCCCTGAGAACCTTCACAACAAGACACATCCAAAGGCAGCAGAGGGTTTCAGTGAGGCACTGCTGGCCCCCCCAGACAAGACCCCCAGTGCTGCTGCTGGCTCAGCCCCGAGCAGAGCCTGCCCTGAGGCAGAGCTCAAACCCTCCTGCCAGGCTGGGGCTTCTGCCCTCAGGTCCCACCACCTCAGGGCCTGGCTCCTGGCCAGCCCTGAAGCACTGGAGAACAAGGAGGGGGGGAAAAAAAGCAGCAGCATTAAAGCAGCCATTTGATTGCCTGTCTGTAAACTCTCCACTGCAGCTGGAAAAAGCTCCTCAAGCATCCCTGGCCACCAGAAGCATTGTGAGATAGACAGAGCTCAGTTCAGTTAGCAGCCATGGGACTTCTCAAGCATCTGAAGTGGTGGTAGCTGTCTGCAGGCAGACATCACGTGCCCCTCTGGGCATTCAGATCATGGTAATGGGATATAAATATCTAATAGCTCAGAAAATGCTTTGGAACAAGGCTCCACAGGACCTGAACTCTCCCTTCTCCCTGGGTCTAGGCATCCAAGCAGAAGAGCTTATCACAGCATTAAAAAGCAATTTCTCCTCTGGGAGAGCCACCCAAATCTGCTTTGCCAAAGAAAAGGAGCTGTTTTAGAGAATTTACTGTGTACCTGTTTCTTGGAAGTGCTCTTCATTTGAGAGGGTTCTGGACAGGATGAGGATAAGTGCTTCTTTGAATTGGTCAAAATGGACCTGTGGAGAAAAAACAAGGAAGACAGGAAGAAATCAACTGATGCAGATAATGGAACATCAGGCCAATAATCCCTTGGGAAGACGGGCAGTAATGCAAATCCCTCAGAACACCAGGCTGAGCTGAGAGCAGGTCTGTGCCTGCCCAGAGCCTGGGCAAGGGGCAGCAATGACCCTCAGCTCGCTGAGTTTTGGGACCTGGAGAAGTGACAGTAAGCAACATGAAGACACAGCCAGTGCCTATGAAGGTGTGACAGAGTGATTGTTACCACAGCGACCCAAAGCCACAGCTTCAGTGCCAGTAGTTGGGTTTTTCCACCCAGCAAGAAGCTGAAGTTACACGTCCTGAGGACCAGGAGCCTCTTCATCACTTGAGATGACCTGGCCAGGGTCAGCAGCTCCTAATACAAGACACCAATCCTGACCAGTGATGAAATCCTGGGTTGCAGAAATGCTCCACTGCCCTCATTAAGCTTCAGAAAACACTTTCCAAAGCAGATGACAACGTTGCACCCTTTCCAGGGCAGCCCTGCCCCAGATCCTGCCCCGCTGCAGCTCCACGAGGACTGGAAATACCAGGTCCGGAGCCTGGCTGTGGGAAAAACTAGGAGGGATCATCCTACCACTGGGTTATTTGGGGTGTTATGTTTTGGTTTGGGGGGTTTCTTGCCCTTTTTCCATCTGTGTCTTCCTGGAAAGCTTCCTGCCTCACTGCCAGGGACAGTTGTGAAGGGGCTGGAGCATCCTCTGCAGCCGCGCCAGGGAATGTCAGCAATTCCAGCCGCGGGGGACGGAAACCTGGAGACAGCTGGGGAAGCTATTTGACATGGGTCAGTGGGGAGGCAGAGCTGGCTGCCGTGCTTGCTTTTGCCTAAATAAAGTCTTGAGAGGATTTTTAGCATTGAAGAAGAGACTCTCTATGTGAAGGGCCCAGCGAGGTTGCTCCTGCTGGCGGGTCCGGCTGCTGCGAATCCCGCAGAAGACTCAGAGGGGATTTTAACACCTCAGAGGGAGGGACAAGCAGCAAAGCTCAGGTCTGAAGTTCACCAGCTTGTTTTTGGAGCCAAACCAGCCCAAAAAAAAAGAGCAACGTGCTCCTCAGCAGGCTGGGGACAAGAGTGAAGCTGGGGGGGAGGCTCAGCCACAGGGGACAGCCCTGCTCCCCAGCTTGGGGGGTACAAATCACCTCTGCGGTTTTAAACACAGGCTGCCCCAGTAATTAAACAGTTAGAAATGTGCTCTGCAAAGAAACTTGTCAGGGACGCCTTCATCTGAATACTAATTGCTGCCATTCACTTCCCAGGGCTGGTGTACTTCAAAAGGAACAGTTTACAGAGATAGGAGAGTTTGCCTGGTTTAAAAAAGACTTGACATTTAGACTCAATGAGGATGAATAAAAGATGAGGGTGTTCGAATAACAGGTTCTCCCCCTGTGGGATCATCTTGGTGACAACAGCCACGGGGACAGAGAGAGGCCAGTCCCTCAGACAGGTGCTGGGGATGGGTTTGGATGGGAGGGACTTCACAGCAGCAAGAAAATGAAATAAAAATCACTTTGCACCACTTGTGCAAACACAGGCAGAGTAAAACCACCCAGGCAGGTGCAGAGAGCACCCCTAACACCTCCCCTGTTGTCTCAGCCGAACGAGCCCCACAACTTGTGTTTGCCAAGAAGCACTGAGGAAGGGGAGGGAGGAAGGAAGGGGGGGCCCAGCCCTTGGCTGCAGCTGCACAAGGGACAGATGGCTCCATCCAGCAGGGAGGCCACTGAGGGATTTCACCATGACCACCACGGCCAGAGGAGCCCACAGAAGGTGAGGCTGTGGGGCAGGAGGTGGCCATCCTCCAGCCCCCCCCCCCCAGGGCTGAAAATGCAAATCAGCAGCAGAGAGACAGGACAGGGGGGCCCACAACTCCTTCTAAGCAGCAGCACCCAGCTCTGCAGATGGAGCCCAAGCTGGTGGAGGGGGGATATTTTCTTAAGGAAAACCTCCAGCCCATCCTAATCAGATAACCAGGAAAAACAGTATCTGCTTGAAAGTGCACGACTGACCTTGGATGCTGCATCTGTACACAAGAGCACTTAGATAAATGCAACTGTTAAAATGGGAGCTGTGCTTAAAGTACCTGCCTGCAGAACAGCTGAACCACAAGCACCATCTCATCTTTTAAAGTAATTCTTTGCCACTTTGCCCAGCAACACCCTCACTCCATCCATCTCACCCAGGGTGCAGGAAGGAGGGATGTGCACCCCCAGGAGACGCAGATCAGGCAATGCCCACATCACCCCACATGCATGTGCTCAGTCTCTACTTGCCTCCAAGCACCAGTGTGCTGTGATGAAGAGTCTCATTCCTGCCTGGAAAGCTCATGCCAAGGAGGCTGCAGGATCCTTGCCAGTGCAAGGGGCATTTCCAGGGATGTGACAGGCACAAGTCTGCAGCAAGAGCCTTTGGTTTTTGCTTAGAGAATATTCCCAGCGAAAGGATGGGCCTGGACAGCCCCAAGGAGGAGAGCACTCAGGCAGCAGTGTCACACAAAGCACCATCTGCTTCTGGGGAGCAGCCTCAGACACTCAAGGCAACCCAAAAACTTTACACATGCAAGGCAGAAAGTAATTCAGCAGCACAACAGCACGGGAGCATTTAAAGTTTGATGCTCAGTTTAATGTGCTCGGCTGAATTTGGGGTACTCTGGAAGCATCAGCTTGTGCATCTGCTCATGGGGACCTCGAACAATAACTCGAGGGTTGATCCAAACCAGCCTAAACCCAGATGAATTAGGGAGGCAATGGCAGGGGACATGTTTGTGCCCACCCAGAGGGCATGGATCAGGGGCAGGACACATGTCCCTGTGCACCAACAGAGAGACCAGGGCTCTGCACAGCACTGGGGACACATCAGTTCCCTGGTGAGGAGAAGTTTCCCCAAACAAGCACATCAGAAGCAAACAAGACTAATATTGCACACAGACATGGGAAGCCCAACCCAGCTTCCCCACGGTCACCAGGGTCCAACCAAGCTGCTGAGCAACCCCAGCACCTTTGAGAAATCTTGACTCCCACTTAAAAGCAAGTTTCCTATGAAGCCTTTGAGCTATTTGCACTAGAAAGAGAACGTGCATGTGCCAAGCTACCTCCTGCTCTCTGCAATGCAAAGCAGCAGCCTCCAACCCTGGTCTCTCTGGGCCAAACCAGCACCCATGGCTCCTTGCAGGTCCCTGTCCTTGATCTCTGAGAAGAGTCCTTTTCCCAGAGGCCTGTCCCTGCTTGCAAACTCCTTCCAGCAGCAGCAGCCAGAAGGTTGCAGAGGAGTGTCAGGTGGGGAAGCCATCAGAACAGGGCAGCCTTGCAACCAAGGTCCCTGCCTGGCACACCAAAAGCCACCGGGCACGAAGGGGAGCAGAGTCCCCGGGGGCTCAGAGGGAAGGTGTTGGCAAGAGGTGAGCAAAGGGAGCCGAGGGGTGAAACCCCAGGCTGCAGTGTCCTTGCTGCAGGATTGCTCATGCAGGGTGAAACCTGAACTCCCTCCCTGAGGGCAGCAGCAGAGGACAGTCCTTGGGCAGGGGCCAGAGGTGCCCAACTGACCCCTGTCCCTGAGGCAGGAGCAGCAGTCACCCCTGCATCCAGCAGCCACGCTGTCCCCAAGAGGGGGAATTAAACGTCCCCACAGAGGCCAGAGGAGACAGGACAGGTTTGCCTGCACCCATCCCCTCAGTCCTGCAGCCAAGTGCCAGAGGGCCTGAGGAAACAGCCTTCCTGAGGAATCCCAGGACTCGCTGTGAGCGAGGAAGGTGGCTCTGGGATGGTCTGCGAGCCAGGGCTGGATGGACACACTCCCACCCGACCCTGGAGGGACCTGGTAATCCCCCAAAGCCCCCCAGAGCCAGGGGGGTGATGCAGCCTGCACAGCTCCTCTCCAGGACTCTGGCTCAGCTCCCACTCCATCCCCATCCATCCCCGCAGCAGAGCCCCCAGCACAAAAGCCAGCACGTGGCCCTGCTGAGTCGCCCCTCAGGAGACAAAAACCATCACTCCCCCCCTTTTCTCCCCCCTCCCATAAAACCCAGCCCCTGGAAGTGTGGGCAAACAAAGGCTGCTCCACCTCCCAGAGGGACCATCTGCGGCAAGGAGGCGGCAGGGCAGGTGCAAGGAGCCTGTGCTGGGGGAGCAGCATGTTTGCTGCTGCTCTCCCGAGGTGCTGCCTAGGAAACCCAGGGGACTGGATGCTGCCAGAGCAGGCTCAGGCTCAGGCATGACCCTGCTAACGAGCAGGGACACCAGGGAGGCACCCAGGAAAGGCTGGAGACAGAGGTGATTCTGACATTAAAATCGCAGGTTGGAAGCGAGAACCGTCCCCGAAGACAAAGAGGGGGAATGAAATAAAAGTGCTCCTTGGGATGGTTTGTGCCCCAGGATGGGGATGGAACAGTGACCCAGCACTTGGAGGCTTTAGCAGGAGCTTTTTGGTGCCCTTGGGCTGAGCATTTACTGCACTTCACTTTTCAGTCACTCTGAGCAGGCTACAGGGATCACAGAATCCCAGACTGGTTTGGGTTGGGAGGGACCTTCAAGACCATCCAGTTCCAACCCCACTGCTTGGGCAGGGACACCTACAACCAGGCCAGGTTGCTCCAAGCCCCAGACATCTTCAGAATTCCTCTTCCTTTCTCTCCATCCCATCACCCCCTGAGCAGCAGAGCCAGGTAACAGCATCTGAGCAGGGGAAGCTCCAAACAGCGCCGAGTCTCTGCTGCTCCAGCAAATGCCCCTCTGCAACCCCACGGGTCAGAAACCTCCATCTGGATCCATCCATGCTCCAGCACCACTGTCAGAGGAGCTACAGCCCCAGGGCAGGCGAGGAGGAGGAGGCTGTTTTTGTTAAAGGACTAATTTTGTTGCAGGAAGGCTGCAGTTGGAGAGGAAGCAGGAGTCAGGAGGGCTGCTGAGCTTGTGTCTCTGAAGCAGCCAGGCTGCCCTACCCAGCAGTTTCTGATTGTAATGAGCAGTGATGGGATTTCAGGGTGATTTTGAGGGAAGCATCTGATGCAATCTGAGCAGTGTGCTGGGAAGGAGGCAACACAGGAGGCCCAAGGACATCCATGCTGAACACGAAGGTCCCCAAGGGCGAGCAGCTTCTGCTCTACACCCTGGCACTTCACTCTGAACCACAACTGAACAACAGCCTTGGAAAGCACAGTGAGCTCACCAGCCACAGGCTGGCAGGACACTGCAGCCCTGCAGAAGAAAGCAGCCATTTGTCCCCAAAAAACAGTCCTAGGTGGGCCTGGGATAACCTCAGCTGTGTGTGAACACCATCACCAGGTAACACGGACAAAAGCAGCTCAGGCAGCAACTCCTGCACTTGGGCAATATTCTCTGCCTTAGAGGAACTGGTGTGACACCACGTGGCACCACTGGCTTCACTACAGCTTAAGCCAGGGTCAGTCACAGGCTGCAGCCCTGGCTTTGGGTCCCCATCGCATCCCAAGCACCTGGAGAGCTGGCAGGGGGAGATGATCCAGGGCAGAGGCAGCTGGAGCTTGGGACCCAGCACTTGGTCTGGCCTTGGACACTGGGACAACCCACCCTGAGTACAATGCCACGACATGAGGCTGAGTGTAAAGTGGTGCTTTCTGCAGGTTTCAGGCTGTCTCCAGGCAGAGGAGACACCAGCAAGCACCTTCCTTCCCTGTTACTGCTCTCAGAGGCCACCCTGTGCCCACCCTGCATATTCACAAAGGTGAAGATGACCTGAGGGCTGGAGCAGCTCTGCTCTGGAGACAGGCTGGGAGAGTTGGGGTGTTCAGCCTGGAGAAGAGAAGGCTCCAGGGAGACCTTAGAGCAGCTTCCAGTGCCTGAAGGGGCTCCAGGAAAGCTGGGGAGGGGCTTGGGACAAGGGCAGGGAGGGGTGGTTGAAAATGGCTGAAAGAGGGGAGAGATGAGGAAGAAATTATTTGCTGTGAGGGTGGTGAGACCCTGGCCCAGGTTGCCCAGAGAAGCTGTGGCTGCCCCATCCCTGGCAGTGTTGAAGGGCAGGTTGGATGGGGCTTGGAGCAACCTGGGCTGGTGGGAGGTGTCCCTGCCCATGGCAGGGGGGTTGGAACTGGATGATCTTGAAGGTCCCTTCCCAACCCAAACTGGTCTGAGGTTCTATGACATTACAGATATTCTGCCTCTTCCCATCACCCTCCCAGACACCCAGGAGCAGAAGCCCAGCTCTACCTTGCTCCCAAGCCCCAGACCACCCCAACACACCCCACCAACACCCCAGCCTTACCCTGCCTAGGAGGTTGCCTTGGAGCAGGGTCTGCTGGAGCGCTGGGGCCACCTCCTCCAGGTGCAGCATGTGGCAGAGGTCAGTGAGCTCCTCCTGCCCCAGGGACCCCGTGCCCGTGCTGTCGAAGCTGTCGAAGAGCTCCTTGAGGCGGGCTTCATACTGGTCCTGCTCAGCTTCATCCATCCCATAGCCTGCCACGCCAGCCTGCGGGGAGAGACGGGGCTGCGGAGCATCGGCTGCTGCACCACCACGCTCTGCACAGGGGAGGAGGACCCAAGGGCTGGGACCAGGGCAGCCCAACCAGCCCGTTTGCTGCAGGTTTTTATCCACACGAAGCGAACCTGGAGCTTTTCCACCCTCCCCTCTCCAGCCTCTTTCCATCCCACTGCGCGAAGCCAGAGGTCGAACAACAGAAAGAACAATTGGGGGGTGGGGGGGCTGGGTAGAAAACGACCTGTGGAGCCAAATTCTCAGGGTGGGGACAGCCTAGGTGGCTGGGACAGCCCCGGGGGGCACGTCCCTACCTGCCACCTCACACTGTCTCCATGAGCAGCTCGGTTGGCTCGGCTGGAGCAGCTGAGGTGCCGCAGGGGGAAAATTGTTCCCTTGAGCTCCACTGGCTCCCAGGTGTTGCAGGTGATGCTTTGCTGGCCTGAATGAGAAGATAAACAACAATCCCAGCAGCAACAGCTCGCTGGTGGCAGGGAGCAAAGTGTGGGGCTCTGCCTTGTGGTGGGGAGGGCAGGAGGTACCAACACCCCAGGCCAACCAGCCACCATGTACACAAGACACATCCATGTGACAAACATGCTCCTTTTTACACTGGCTGGGGTGCAGGGACCCCCAACACCCCATCAACATCCCTGCTGTTCTCCACCACCCCAGCACAGAGCCACAGGGTGCCCTGGGGAGGGACATGTCCCCCCTGGGTCACTGCCCAGTCCCGTGGCACACACTGCCCTGCTCTCCTCCAGGTAATTCAGGTCAAACCCTGCCTGAAGGCAGAGAAGGGTTTGAGAGGGGACACACTGCTGGGGTGGCAGCAAACCCCAGAGCAGAGCTGGCCCCAATGCAGACACAGCAGCAACACAACAGGTCTCCAGCAAACAAAGCCCAGTTGGGTTCCCCACCACTCACCCAAGGGCTTTGTCCTCCTGGTCAACAAGTTTTCATCTCAGCACAACCCAGAGCATCGCAGCCCCAGGAACTGTTCTGGGAGGGAAATTCCCTGTCCCAGATGAAGGGTTCCTCTGGCACCCATTCACCCAGCCTGGCTGCAGGGCTCCCTGCTGGCTCAGGCCAGCAGTAACCAACAATGGGACACAGCCTTGGGGTACCTGGCCACCACAGGGGACATGCCACCACCTTGGGGGACACAAAAGGCACCACAGCAGTTAGCATATGGGCCAGGGCATATGGAGTGGCAATGGGCACTGCAGGGACCTGGCACCCCAAAGACACAACCCCAGGATGCTTGGCCAGCCTCAGGCCATTGCCCAAGCACCAGCCAGGTCTTGTGTGAATTTTATTCTGCCCACACTGCTGCAGGTTGTCTCAGCCACGTTTCCCAAAGGATGGTCCTATCTGAACCCCCTCACCATCCAGCCCTGCTATGGGGCAGCCACCTCCCTCCTGCATCTCAGCACCACAGGGTTCCTGCAGCCACCCCTGTCACTGGTGATGCCTGAGGATCACTCCGATCTTCAAGAGCATCATGAACCACCACATCAGCTCACCCAAGCACCCCATAGCAAAAGGACAATCTGCAAACCCTGTCCCACCAACGTGGCTGGAAACTGGGAATTCTCCAGGGCAGACAGCAGGGCAGCAGCACCATCAGACCTCCACAGAGCACAGATACAGCCCCATCCCCACATCGCTCTGCCCTCGGTGTCCCCTGGTTCCCTCCCCAGAAGCCTCTTGAGCTGCTTTAGCAAATCACCCAGGGAGGTGCTGCAGGGAGGAACAAGGGTGCAGACACATTTGCCTTCCACCCGTGGCACAGAGGAGGAGCCAACACCCAGAAACTCAGGTGCCTGCAGGCAGAAGGAAGGCAACAAGCTAGTTTACTGGTTCTCACAATGACAACCCCATTTCCCAATTGCATCCACGGTCCAGCACACATAGGGCTCAATACCAGTTGCTGTGGGCTACCAGTGTTGGGAGAGCCCTGGCCATGCACCCCAATAGCCCCAAAATACACCCCAGTAGCTGCAACAGTGACTCTGACCCCTGGAGCTTCCCAGGCATTTCTGAACCTCTTCAGGGTCAGCCACCCCCTGCCTCCCCAGAGACCTCTCCAGCATTTGACCCTACTTGTACACTACCAGAACCAGTTCCCCCAGTTAGACAGGGCAGATGGCTAAATGCCACCCTGCCACCGTGTCCCCAAGCACCCAGAATACAGGAGTCACCCTCTCCCAGTGCCAGACCAGCAGGAACCCCAAAAACAACTTACCCTGGATGAGTCCAGGCTGAGGGAGGAGGGCACTGGGGAGTCCATAAAACCAGCAAGAAAAACACAACGCCCAAAGGACAAGAGCTCCAGCTGCACAGTCCCTGCCTGGGGACCAGCCCTGCCCCTGCAGCCTGGGTGAGCTTCTGGTGAGGACACAGTGTCTCCCACAGCCTCCCGTGTCCCCACGGCGAGGGAACAGCCGGAGCCCGCGGGGTGCGAGCGACCCAGCCACCCCTCTGCAGCCCGGGGAGAGGGGCTTTCGTGCTTTCCAGCATAAAAAGCATCCCAAATCAAGAGAGATGGGGGGGAGGGGGGGGGCCAAGACTCCTCACCTGCCTGCAGCCTGTCACCCTCGGGCAGCTGCCAGCAGCCCCGCGCTCCCGCGCGCATCCCGCGCAACCTCCATCTTAGGGAGCTGGCTCCAGCAAGGTGACCCAAGATGCCTACTCCTGCCTGAATTATTCAGCAGCTCTTCCAGCAGGGAAGGGGAAAAAAAAACCAAACAAACCAACAAACGAGAGAGGAAAGCACCCAGCCCTCCCACCTGCCTTGGCATCACCCAGCAGTCAAAATAATGAGGTCAGGGGCATCAGAGCCCAGGCAGGGCAGAGGCACCCGCGTGGAGCTGCCTGCTGGGGATGGGAGATGGGGCTGGGGAAGCACAAGAGGCACACAAAGCCCGAATTAAACCCCAGCCTTTCATCTCTGCTCCAGATGGGCCAGCAGCTGAGATGCAGGAGGGCGGCCCGGAGCAGGCAGGATAATAGGGGTGGGTGGGCAGCAGCTGAGCCGGGGCTCCCCGGGCCCCTCTGAGGAGGAGAGGGGCTGCTCTCCCCACAGAGGGCATCACTCGGGGCAGATTTATAGCTGCCCTTCTGTGGGGTGTTAAGTGGCCCAAAACGGCCAGCTGGAGCAGACAGGGCAGGAAGGTGCAGGTTTAGAAGAGCTGCTTGGAATCAATCACGTTATTCTTCTCCCTTTAACGAGTCCCGGGAAGCAAAGTGCTCGGGGATGATGAGAAGAGGAAGTTTTCACCGGCTTTTCTTTCCTGCCTTTAAATCCACCCCCTCCTGAGAGCCAGATAACCTTCCCGGTGCACAATGCAGAGGCCTGATAGGACTAAATTCTCAGCTAAATTTAACTCAAACAATATAGGCTTAAATGGTAATTACTGCTTTGCATATTAAGTGCCTGGGATCAATATCAGCCTCCAAGCTTTAGCCTCAAGCTAAGGAAGGACACAGACTGCCTGGTCAATCAATAGCACCATCAAGTAAAAAAAACAAGGCAATTAGCACAACACCCTCTTTTTCTTTTTTTTGGTGCAGAACGGTATTAAAGCAAACAGCATCATGCACAGCGTGGAGGTTTCAGGGATGCTCTGCCCATGGGCTGCATCACCACCCACCCCTCTCAAGGGCCACGGGCTACCTGAGCAACTCACCTCTTCCAAGGGACAGTGAGGAAAACGCTGCTTTTGCTGCTACTCTTGATTACCTCAACTCAAACAACAACCTGGTAATTAGTGCCCAGCAGAGTGACATCACGTGGACATCTCCAAAACACAAGCACCAGCTCCCCAGGATATAACTGTCTGACATCATCCACCCTGTTGCCCACAAGCAAGGCCATGGTGAAGAGCAACTTGTCCCTCCCTCTGTGGCTGGGACAACTGGTACCATGTGAAACCACCTGGCAAAAACCACCAGGACCCCAGGTTTTAATGTGAGGGTTTATGATGAGATGGCCCAGCAGCCACTGAAACCAAACCCTTGAGCTCTTGCTGGAAAGCCAGAGCTGGGGTTGTCTCAATTAACTCATTATCTCCTTCCCCTAATGAACCATCTCATCCACCCCAGCTGTGGTTAAGCAGCTGGATTCCCTGTGTGCACCCCCAGGTCCCCACACCACTGCTTGTCTCAGGCAACTTCTGAGCTCAGCCCACCCCCAAACCCCTCCTGGGGAGCAGCAGCTCCACAAAGGCTCGTGCCAAGAAACCGAAGGCAGGGAGGGGTGGGGGAAGCCTAAAAGGACAAGGAAACACCCAAACACCAGTAAATCACTTCCCAGCACGCCCAGCTCTTCAAGGGTCACCAGCAAAGTCAGCTTTACAGCTGGCAGCTCCTCCTCCCCATTGAGCAGGGTCATAATTTTTTGCAGCCCGGAGCCGGCTGCTTTGCACCCCAATCTCACAGCTCCCCGTGCTCCCCAAAAACCAACCAAACCCTCCAAAAGCTGGCAGAAAAAAAGGGGAAAAAAACCCCAAAAAGAAAAAAAAAGAGAGGATTCTGTTAACCAACCTCCACTCCAGAGCAGCAAAGCATATACAAGCACTATAAATTTATGGAAAGAGCTTCAAAAGAGGGGCAGGGCTTTGAATATTCACATCCCCCCCCCCCCCGGTATTTGCATTGTAATGGGGCCCTTTCACCGAGCAGCCTTTCCCCCCCCATCAGCAGGGAAAAACAAAGCGCCCATCTGGTCGGGTTTCTGCAAACGGGGCTGGAGTTGCTCGGCCACAAGTCGGGGGGCTGGATCAGGCTCAAGGTGGAGGCACAAAGCTGGTGATTTCGGGAGCGGGAGGGCAGGGATGGGGTCGTTCCTGGGAACGAAGGTTCTTCCTGGGAAGAAACCCGGGATGGGAGAAACACGGGGAAGACGGGCAGGATAAAAAAAAAAACCCACCCTGACCCACCCGGGCAAGTGGGTTTGTTTGGGTTCTCTC